GTTTTAAAAAAATGAAACAACCATAATCACCATGACAATTAAAAAATCATTATTATTATTATTATTTTCAGTGCAATAAAAGTTATATAGTAGCAAAGCTGAGTATTTCATATATACAATTATTCTCATAAAAATTTTTCAGCATCCAATTTACAAAAAATTAATTGTATTATCTAATTTGCGCGCTTACTTTTTCAATTTTAATCTCAAGAACTGTAAATATGTAATATTTTCTAACAAAATTTATCGGCATTATTTGAGTAAATATGAATATATTGCCTATTGCTTAAATACGCTTAAAATACCTATGTTTTGTTCAAAATAATTCTGTCAAGTCATTGTACACTTTCATACGTGTAAAAAAGATCAATTATTTTACGTATTTGCACTCGTAAAGATTTAATTTGCAAGTGTAAGTATGCAAATGTCAAAGAGTTTGTCTGCTTTACCTTAACCTCTCTCCTCTCAGTAATTTCCTTTGCGATGAATTATGCCTACAATTATTGATAATTCACTTCACTCTTATCCTCTACTTCCGTTGATATTAATTTCATTATTACAAACTTTTATGCTGCACTTTAATTGATCTCACGTCATACGCGTTTTTACGCTTCAATACGTCACTCATTCATTATTATTCTGTTCCAAAATTATCAATACAATATTCAAATATTTTTCTAAACTAAAGTAAAGAATGTTTTACAAATTTTTTTTCAACCATTTTTTCTCAAATGCTAAATTATTTCTCACTTTTTAACATGCTATCCAGCTGACACATTTTTGTTACCTTTTATTTGCCCTTTGATTGATTACTGTTATTCTTTGAAGCGCAGTTTTTTTTTCAACTTTCGGAACGAAGTAAAATAGTGATCATTTACAAAACTTAATGACCCATAACCTTTTCCTATAATTTAACACTGTGCTCACATAACTATTCAATCATTTTTAGTATAAAATAATTGTTGCATCTATAATTGTCTCAAAAATTGTTTTGTAGGACAATGAGAAAATTTGATTATGACAGAATAATTTAGTTAAGTACTTATTTTCAATTTTTAGCTAGTTAAAGATTGATTATTTGATTTGGTTATCGATCAGATGTTCGAATGAATAAATGCAAATCAGATCTTAATCATGATTATGTATACTAAATGTAAAAGAAAGCGGTCACTTCGAGGTTAAAGTGCTGACCAATCACTTGTGAGCACATAGGGTCATCCTATCTTCTCTCCTTTTCTTTGCAATGGTCATTTATTTATGCACTAAAGTTTGCATATTTGGTCACTGTTGCAAGATTAGTCGCTTTGCGGCATTTTTTTTTTTTTGCTTCTTTTCTGAAATTGCGTAATATTTATAAATGAAATTTTACAATTGAACTCTTAGATTGACAACGTGCTGAATGCTTTTTATTTTTAATTAACTGACTTTTTCTTCAATAATTGTTGCGAATTGTCGAAAATCACATAGGAAAAAAAAAGCAGTATATATATTTTAAATAGCATAGAACGTTTGGCGATTCTCGTTTTACAAATATATAAATTACAGAAATTCCTTTTGTAATTTATAAATTTGTAAAACTTTTACCTTACGAACGCTCGAGAAATATCTTCACGTTTTTGAGTTTTAAATATGAAATTTCAACTCATACAAATTATATTATCAACTGTAACAATTAATTGTCTCGTTTTAATTCCTAGAAAGAGTTCCTTTTCAAACATATTTTATATTTAATTTTTTAAGTGAATTCGAAATGTGAGTTTTTAGTTTTTTCGGTTATTTTATTCTAAATATGAATTCATCTCTTTACATATTCATAATTTGGCATTTGAAGAGGAACTGAACTGATTTGAGAATTTGGCTTATCTCAATTGGCTTATCTCATTTGACAATGACTACTAAAAGTTTCTGGTTGGCTCAGTAGATATAATTGTGATCTTTCTGGTCATTAAAGGTATTATCAATATATCCCATATTTGCAATATCCGCTTTTTATTCTACATTTTTATGTGCATCGCTATCCCATATCAACACTATAATTGAGGTCA